AAGCGTGACTTGGTACCCACTATCCCCGCACCAGCCGTGGACGCTAATCCTTCATATCGCGATCAGTTACCGCTACAGAGGCTGTGTCCAAAACTGTCGCTCGATTTGGAGCACGAACGTGGACTCTAACCACGCACCTGTTTGCGCTGACCTCCAGGTGCGTTTCAGTGGACTTCCGCAACGTCGATGTGAACGGATTGATACCAGCCAGCTGGCGAAACCAGGTGTTCTGAATTCGTATCAAAGTGCGCAGACATTCGGGCTGAGTAAGCGCCCAATGATCACCGTCATAGATCACTAGATGCATTTCCGCTAAACGTTACTATCAGGAGGCATGTGGCAAATCAAATTGCCAGCTGCACATTGGGTCTCTACACAGTCTCTGGAACGTATGGATGCTCGCCGACAAATTCCGGCTGGAAGCGAATACAATGAGGCTCGCAAAAATCGCGGAGCAAAACTGCGTGCTAGCCTGAAGAAACACTGCGAAGGCTGTTGGTCTCATCATTCCTCCGAGATGGAAACAGTCGCTTCAGTTGGTAATCTTCAGAAGTGATTCCGTCTGATACGGGAAACAGACAGCACGAGACCTGGTGTTAGCGAAGCCAGACGCGACAAGAGTGGATAGCCGATCCACAGCCTGTCAAAACGCTTGGGGCATAAAGCCGAACACTTTGTAAGGCAATTTAATCAAACTGAGTTGTCGCTTTCTCTTTCGGGATTAAGCTCCCTTCTCCCTGGGTCATCTTATATCCGCCCTCACGTGCAGAAGTCGAGCTTGGGATCAGGCTATTGAAATTGCAAAAGGCAGCAGGGACCCAAAGAATTCCCCCAACCCTCTTCAAATTCGGGGGACCTGCTCTAGTAGACGATGTACACGACTTGCTAGTGAAAATTTGGGAGCAAGAAACTGTCCCGACAAACTGGAGCTGCTCTGTTATAGTCCCAATTTTCGATGGAGGCTCCCGTTCGGAATGCGGCAATCATAGAGGGATCAGTCTGATCTCAATTGCCTCTAAATTGCCTGCGTCTGTCTTTCTCCATTGATTGGCTGGCACTCGTGAAGTCCAGATCCGTGAAGAGCAAGCCGGGTTTCGTCGAGAGCGGGGATGCATCGACCACATGTTCACCTTGTGTCAATTGTTGGAGCATCGCCATGTTTATTGGCAACCCACCGTTGTCGTGTTTCTTAACATTAAAGGTGCCTTCGACTCAGTCGATCGATGTGCCCATTGGGACTGTCTGCTGAGGAAAGGTGTGCCTGATAAATACGTAAACATTATCAAAGCGCTGTACGCGCATAGTTCCGGCAGAATGAGGGTTTATGGCAAACTGTCGCCGTCTTTCACTATACTCAGTGGTGTGAGACTAGGTTGCCCGATGTCACCTTTCCTCTTTAACTTCACTATTGACCAAGTCATGGAAATAGCATTCGCTGGACACGACCTAGAAGGTGTGGAGCTACTTCCAGGTGAGCGACTTCTTGATTTGGAGTATGCGGACGATATTGCCCTAATGTGTGATAGCTCCCAAACATGCTAAGCCTCACTGGACCGATTAGCACTGGCTATTATTCGTTTTTGGCTATGCTTTGCTCCATCTAAATGCAAACTCCTCCAAGATTGGCAGGGAGCCACCCCTGTGCTAACGTTCGGTGGTAATCAGCTAGGAGTGGTTCAGGAATTCAAGTACCTGGACAGCAATATTAGCGCCCATGGGATCGAAGATTAGATAAGGGACCGTATAGCAAGAGCTCAAAGTGTTGTTGACAATCTCCGCCACCTGTGGCACAGATGCAATACCACTTTCTCCTTGAAGGACAGGGTTTATAATGCAACCGTTCGTTCAGCCATCTTATACGGTTGTGAAACCTGGCCCATCAGATTTACAGTCATAAAGATTATTGTCATGTTCTATCTTTGCTTCCTTCTCAGATTAACTGATGTCTGGTTGTAGCACCGCGTGAGCAATGTGTGTGTTGGTGTAGTGTATTTAGTGAAGGAAGACAGAGTGAACCGTTTGGCACCATGTCACGCACAAGCCTCCGATGGTTAGACCACATGTTGCGCATGCCAGTACATCGACTCCCACGTCGTGCGTTGTTTGTGTGCCGGGTGTGTAGTTGGAAGAGGATAATAGGAGGCCAAGCGATGAATTAATCGGGAGGAATGCAAACCCTCACTATGAAACTGGTGTCGGTTGGTGTATCCTGACTGCCTGACTGGGGTCCTAAGAACGATGAACACGACTGGTTGGACACACTTGCTGATATGGCGGAGAGCCGGCCCCAGTGGCGTGTGTTGTGAGTTTCTTTGTCCACCCCTGCCCTATAGGTTCCCCCTCTAATCCCGATCACATGCAAAACGCATAATATAATATTTAACATCATCTTTTTTGTAGTGCAATTTGTGTAATGTGTAGTGCGACTTTTTAGTGTCTTATCTTTGGTATTGTGGCACATTAGCTGAGGTGTTTCTCACCCTCAGCTAAAGTGTACTGATGATGACGACTGGGTAACACGCATGGAAGGTTGCAATGAGTAACACTGGTCAGTCTCAATCCCTCTAATTGGGAAAGTACTGTAAGTAGGAGGTGAAGGATGGAATGAGACGCTATCAAGCAAGCGATGCAATGCAACACAAAAGTCGAGTTGCTTGCGCCCGACCATAACATAATTCAGTGTACTCAAGTCGTAGCAGACTAGTATGAAATAAAAATAAAAAACGAACAGGGCAAGTACGTGAACATGCATACGACAGCTGTTGGAGAGCAAATGTAGGGATACATACGACATTACATCTAGCTGGAAGCGCTGCGAGGAATGCTCACAGTCGTTGATAATGTTCCCAATATGGGTGCTAAAACTGGGTCGGTAAAAGCAAACAAGTGATCTTACTGAAACTTTTACCGGGTTGTCGATGAACACCATGTTTTCGGGATGCCGGTAAAGACAAATAGCACACACAAAGAGAGAGAGAGAGAAACAAGCAGTTCAAGTGGGCGTAGTGTTTTCTGTGCTGATGAGAGCAATTGTGCCCGTGGGTGAAATCGTGAAAACGTACAAAGAATCGGTTTACCAGTTACTGCCATGGATTGCGCCGTCTACTTCGAGAGGAAAAAAGAACGCAATAACTAGTGGCCAGCTGCGCGTCTAGCTCTCGAATGGTGTCCGAGAAAAGTTAACCATGGCGACAAAGATAAAACAACTGTTTGTCAGTATGCGTACCACTGGGTACAGTTTTTTTATGCTTGTCGTGAGGGAATGCAAAAAGGGATGTTCGAGCAGTGCTATTTTAGTAGTTGGGATCATGGTTTCAAAAGGATGCACCGGCTAGGTCGGTAGTCACATTCTTCTTGTCAGGTCTACCTTAACGTCGCGAAGACAAGACTTATTGTTGAGACGCTCAGGCAGTTGAGTCAAAAGCCGGAAGTGGGTAACCACAAAGAACTGCATATCATCTGTTTACAAATCCTCAGCACCCGTAGTACATGCTCTTTTTCCTCTAGGCATCACCAAAGCCCGGTTGGCATTTGTCCACCTGAAACACGCGGCGTCGTCGGAATTACGTTGATTGGCAAATGATCGTGTTTAAAATGCAACCCTTCTGGCGGTGTTGTTATATGGTAGTGAGTCATGGCCAGTTCACGTAGATGACATGCGTCAGCTTTCGACCTTCGAAAATGGGTGCTTGAGGAGAATCGCTCGTGTGTGGTGGCAACAGCGTTCTACAACGGTGAAGTCAGACTTTGTGTTTTAAGAAATACGAGTATAGCATTCAACAAGCTGGTAATACTGCGCCAGTTAAGATGGTTCGGTCACATCCTGAGTATGTCAGCTAAGCGCTTGCCATATCGTGCCCTGTTCGCTCGTACAGGACTCGACTGGAAGATACTACGCGGTGGGCAATCATCCACTTGCCGAAAACGTATGAAAGCATGGATCACGTTTTGCTGCCGTTGGATCTACAAAGCTGACTACTTGGGGATCAAAGGACGAATAATACCGATGGCTTGAAACAATTCGGAACATGGCGTGCAAGCGAAATTAGTGGAAGATCTGTTTACATACGTGATTAGATTCAGATGCTTAACGCCTAGCTATTAAAAAAGTTTGAAATAAAAATGGCGTGTGAAAAATAACAAAAAACGATCTGTTCTTGCAGCACCGTTGCTGAAGTGTGTTGCTAGCCTTCAATTAACGTGCCATAACGATGCTGCGTCAATTCCACCTGTCATCTGCTGATTTTCATGGTTATGTCTGGCTTTATGCCTATTTATTAGACTGTTGATACCGGCGAGCAACCTGACAGTGTCCACATGGCAGCTAAGAGTAAGCTCGAAACACTGGTGGATCGTTGATACCTTAAACTCTCAGTGGTTGCACGAGTGGACTGGGATACTGCAGAACCGCTAAAATCAATGCAGGGGGGAACTTGAGCACACTGAGTAGAGCCTGCAATCCAGGCACTTGAGTTGCCACACAAAGGACTGCTCAGTTAAAGAAACTGCTGCATTGGACAGGGGTCATCGCATGTATTCTTAAAACAGTTTTAAAAGACCCCTTAAGCCGTATTTATTGATTCGAACGTACCATGTGGAATATAAGAAAGAACAACTGATCCTTCTCGGTCCAAATCCAAGTGGGAAGTTGTGGCAAGCGAGCAGTTAATGAACGGTGATGTTGCTAAGTACCGTACACAGCAACGGGCAGATTGTGCTATCCGTGGACCCCGAATGACTGCAGCAAGATTACTTCTTTAATCAGGTGGGTCAAGGCTCAGGCTAAACTATAAGAGACTCTTAACGAATCGGCTATATTAGATAACTACTCGTGATAAACAATGGTTACATTTTGTATAGAAATGCATTTAGGGAACCAATGAGTCGCAACTATCGCGACATGAACAAAACAAACGCCCAAATAAAAATGTGGTGCAAGCAACTGATTTTGAGCAAGAGTCCGGTAATAATGCGAATATGCAACAAACAACAGTGCTTACCAACCCCGTACGCAGTGTTGAAAAGGTATCGCTTGCCGCCCATGGATGAGATGTTTACAATCAGGCCAGGTGGCATAGATGCATCACGACCCTTCAGCATCATGCGAGTGGCTAGTGTGGCGCAAATATAGTGGTTTCGAAGACCGACATCATTCACAGTATCCCATGCTTCACCCGGGGTGCAATCCTCGATTTCATAGTAGGTCATACCGTTATGCTTCAGTAGGAAGGGAACAGCAGCGTATGCGTTATTGACTAACACATCCAGTCTGCCACGTTGTTCGCGTTGTATCCGTTCGAAGAGTTGAAAGATTTCATCTTCTTTACTATGATCCACGACTACGGGGATGGGTTTCTAAAACGCAGTTATTGTGGCTACATGTTGTGAGGTGATCAGTGGGGAAAATGAAAAGGAATGAATGGTGATCTACCGTTGAATATCAAGCGATGCACCACATCAAACACACCTACATGTTGATACAACGTAGCGTAAGATGATTGGTGAGGCCACCAACAAATAAATACGGATGAGTTCCTCCTCGAAGAGTCTAACATCAGCGACTAAAAGATCTATGCTAAATCATGACCCACAAGCTTCAAATAACCCAAGACCTTCGAATTCACGCTGTGGAATGAGAATCAGCTAACAGAACGGCAGTAAAGCGGGAGCACCACAATGCTTACTGAGCCCTTAGGCATCACGGCAGAACACAATTGAGACTGCAAAGTACTGCACTGCCAGGGTAAACCAGCTGCTCAAGGTATAAGTGCTTAAACATTCCACCGGTGATTCAAGCGTTAGCAGGAAAGATGGAAAACAAAGCTTCGAGTCTCCAGCGCGATGGGATTTAAACTGGTGTGTAGGGACTAATTAATGAGATCAATCAGAAACACACTCAGTTAGACAGCTGATGGTACCATAAGCTAGGTTGGGCAATGGCTCATTTTTAAAGAATAGTGGGAGGAAAAAGTTAAGATAGATACTCGGACATTTTCCAAGATACACTTAGACAGACAAACGCGTTCGGAAAAGAGCGTGATAACCGCTTCTTCCTTTCGGGAATAGACAGCAGTGCTGATTTCCCATAGATGAGCTTGTACTAGCCTGAACATCACAAATCCAATGGAGCGGTTGTGAACGTTTTGTGATGAAGAACACAATCAAATATCGCACAATCGAACCTCCTGATGAGCAAACCGATAAGCATGAAACTATGACAAATAAAGCCCACTTACACCGCCTCGAGCTGTGATCTCCGCAGCGGTTTCTTCCAGGGAGCCCTTGGTATCTTTTCCAGAACCGAGAGTGCGGCCTGTTATGTAAATTGTGGCCTTCAAATCAGCTAGGCTAAGGGCTATCCCCTTTCCAATTCCACGAGAAGCCCCAGTCACCAAACAAACGTAGTCAAGAAAGCTTGACATCTGAAAGGGGACAGTGACATTTGATGTGCCAGAAGTGATGGCCAAAAACAGGGCTCGGGAGAAAAAGGTAGCAATGATGGAAAAAGGAATGAAAAACAACAACCGTAACAAGGATTTCCAATAAATAATTCAACTTGTTGGTCTTCTAGTAATAAATCGGCGAAAGTGAGAAATCGCATACTAAGATGTACACTGAAACAGAAGAAATGGGAGGAAGAGAAATGAGTGAGACAAAACAGATCAGCGTAATCATTGGATCATTGGATGATAGAGAGCAGAAGGAAGATCCTTTGTCAGTTCCTTCACTTCCCGATCATTGCGGAGATGGCGTGGATCATTGCTGCATAAGGTTCCGCAGTGCACCACTGTAGCTGTCTTAGAGGCAGCAGAATCCCAGCGCGCTCAGGTGAGAATCTAACAGTTGTTTGAAACGTTCCTCTGTCTCAGCATCAATAACAGGATCCAGCAACCGGTTCTAATCATTCACCACGAAAGTTGATAAGGCCAAATTGAGCCGCACACGAAGATTTCTCGGTTTGAACAGTTTCATGCTGTGACCTCGTGTCGAACTCTGTGTTGAGTTGAAAGAAGTCCTGTAACTCGCAACCCAGTTCTCCTCTGAGAATATGAGTGAATATCAAATCTCTTAGGTGACGGCGGTAATCTAGAGAGAACAAGTTCAGTTGTTGAAGTCGGTGTGGATACGACAGGTCTCGCAACTCAGGGACGGATTTGGATCCACGCCGTTGAACCTTCTCTATCATATCACCTTCGGATTTTGTGAGAGGGTAGGCAGCGGGTAGCCCGTATTCGAGAATCGGGCGTACATGCGAGCCAAAGAGGAGTCGGAAAAGTCCCTGGGTCAGGAGAGAAAACCCTCTACGGATAGAATGGAACATCCTGTAAGTCGCGGCGACCCTCTTTTGGGTGTTTTGAATAGATTTGTGGACTGATGACACTATCACTCCAAGGTCCCTCTCTTGGGTTGCGCTTTTGAGCAAGGAACCACCAATGTGGTAAGTTCCAAATGAGTTTGATGAGCCAACGGGGAGAACAGAGCATTTATCACGATTTACGGGCAACTGCCACTTAATCGACCAGTCATGGAGTAGATCGAGCGTAGTTTGTAATCTGTCGGCATCTTCAAGGCTGGATACTTCCATCCATAGCTTTAGGTCGTCAGCGTAGATTAGGCAATCCGTCTGAAGAGTGGATGGTAAGTCGTTGAAGATATTGAAAAGTACGGGACCGAGGACAGAGCCCTGTGGGACCCCACTCGTCATGAGAACAGGAGCAGAAAATGTCATTCACCTTCACTTGCATAGAGAGGTCGTTTAGGAAGTCGGAGATCCAAGACAGGTTCCCAGAAATACCGATTCCTTGGATCCTAAACAGGAGCCGTTCATGCGGGACTTCGTCAAAAGCTTTGCTGAAGTCAACAAACAACGTCCAAGCGTTTGCCGGAGTCTAGCGACCTTGCCCAGGTCTCCTTAGCAACGAGCAAGTTCGAGGTACAGGAGCGTGCTTTTCGGAACCCATGCTGGGCATAAGAAATGACATTCTGTCCCCCAAGATGAAGAGTAACAGCTTGTTTTAGGATCCGTTCCATTACTTTACACACTACTGACGTCAAACAGATTGGACGATAATTGGCCGGAGTATGTCGACTTCCTCCTCTGTAAATAGGTTTGACGATACCCAAGCTGAAGGAAGACGGCCACTTTCCAGTGAGCGACGAAAGATTTGACATATGGATGAAGCTATGTACTCCGTCACAGTCCTGAGGAACAAAGGATGCAATCCATCAGGGCCGGGTGAGCTATACGGATCTAACTGAAGAAGAAGTTTCATCAAAGAATCAGTGTTAATATCTACTTGGGCCAACGAAGATGGAAAGGCGGATACGGCTCTGTCACTAAATGGTGTTTCTTTCGCGTAAACGGAAGCGTATTGCTTAGCCAAGTGACTAGCTTTCTCAGCGTCCTCGTGAAGTAAAGCTTGATGATCACAAGAACACAAAGCTGGGATGCAGTTATCAGCTCTAGTGCTTCTCTTCAAATAAGAGTAGAGCATTTTAGGCGCGATTCTGGAGTGTTTTGCCAAGGATAGTTCGTATTGTTGGCGTTTCTGGCGCTTCATTGCGACGCAAACATTTCTGACAGTCTTGTAGTGAGAGAAGGCGAGTTCTGAATAAGATTGCCTAGAGCGGTCCTACAATTTGCGCTTTCTATTCATAGTTGACCTCAACTCTCGATCCATCCAAGGTGGACCTCTAGCGAAGGGCTTTTGACGGGAGGAAGGAATGACCTGCTCAATTAACGACGTCATTTTGGAGAGTACAAGATTCCACGCGTCGTCGAGGTGAATGTGTTCAGGGATACCCCAATCAGCAGCGCTTGCGGCCGTTTTCAGACGGAGTGGGTCGGCACGCCAAAAATTCCGATGGTGACCACCGTGGCTATGGATCGTGAGACGGCAAGTCCAGTGGAATGAAACAACACAAGGATCGCTCTTGCCTATGGGTTGAAGAACGGTTAGGTTCGTGACATCCGAATTTGCCGGGGAGAGCACGAGATCTAGGATGTGCGGGGTCTGGTCTGGGAAAATACGAGTAGGCGTCAAGACATGTTGAACGAAGTTGCAGTCGAGAGCGGTTTTAAGCAATGTGGCATCGAAGGAGTCAAATCGGCGATCGATATCCGGTGCATTGAAATCCCCCGAGATTAGACAGTCTTTGTGATCACCATACATCCTTATCGAGCCCAACAAGTGCGCTCCGGGACCCGATGGTGCTTTATAGACGACACCGACCAAGAGAGATCTGCATCCGTCATGAACACGGCACCAGCGGGCTTCGAAATTGTCATTCTGGTCACTGACAGCTTCAACTAAATGTACTTTGAGATCTGTCTTCCAGTAGAGAATTACTCCACCACCTGATCGGACCGGGAGTGGTGATATCCAGGGATAGACACTTCCGAGTCCGTGATATCTGAGAATAGCCAGGTTTCGGTGAAGGCCATCAAGTCTGGATGAGTCTCCGAAATAAGCAACTGAATTTCGTCCAGTTTATTCCTTAGACTGCGTACATTGGCAGACAGCACGCGTAGTCCGTTTTTATACTTTACTGTCTGGGGGTGACAAGAATCGGCCTCCAGCGCATTCTTGTGCTTTTCCGAACTACGCAAAAATCCACGGTATGTAGGTCGGTTTCACCACTCGCCCGCCGCGTTCGGAGCTCCTCTACAGCCTACTTCATTTTAATTCGGTCCTCGTGAGAGATCTCGTAACACGTAGAAAGGTTCGCCTTTGAGACGTGGAGTCCGTCGAAGGATGCGCGCGCACTCTTCTTCGTTTCCGCATACATTCCTGAGGGGTCGAACCTTGGAGGGCATTTTCCTGCTTCTTACCGAGACGAAAGGCAGAGACAATGTTTACTCCCTGTTCGCCTGCATCAAACAGTAGGGAAATCATCCGCTCGAGCAGTATTTGACCATCCAACATTCGTTCTGCCGAGGTAGACTTGTCCGGTTTCGCCGCGTTCACGATGATGAGACAGCGGTCATGAGATGGCTGAATGCGCTCTGGAATTGGTGGCTTACGGGATGATGGATTTTCCTTTATCACTTTTTCCAGCTCAGAAATTCTGGTGAGAATTATCTTAATTTGTGACTGAGAAGATGGAAGCTCAGGTTTATTCAAAGACTTAGTCTTGGTGACACATGTGGCTGGACCTTGGCCACACGAGGCCAAGGTCGCTTTCTCCTTCACTACGTCCGCATATGACTTCGTCGTAGACTCAACAGGCCGGATGTGTACCAATAAGTCTGAATGAGAAGTAGACGGGGCGAGGGTGGCCGCGACTTTTGGAGCGTCGCTGGAAGATGTGTTGCTCCACTTCCTGGCACGCCTAGCAGAGGGAGCGGAAGAACATCTTTCAGGAGGTTGATGTGGCGGACGTCTTGCCAACGCAGCAGCATCGATGCAATATCGACAAATCCATAGCAAACCCTTGTGCTCAGCATAGGTTTTGAAGAGCGGTTCAGTAAGTTGCGAGCAACGCTTTTGGCCACATGCCCAGAGTTTGCAGGCAATGCACTGGATACCCTTAGTCATCACTTTCGCACAATGCAAACACTGTGAGTTAGACATAATCACTTGATCTCAGAGAAAATTTGACAGTGGTTAAATTTTGTCACGAGTGTTTCGTCAAACACTGGGCTTCGCGATATTTCACCTAAAAAGCTCGATCAGTATGGCACGCCAAAAATCTGTGACGATGGAGACACATGATCAGTACGGTGCACAAGACATGGTACAATTGTGCGATGGATTCAATTATCTTCAGCAAAAGTGAAGAACAATCGAGGGAAAGAATCGAAGCTCGGTTGATGTCGCTAGACTAGTTCAAGTTCAAGTGGGACTGGAACGATAGGATGAATCCCGTAAGTGTTCCTTCTTGAGCGGGTCGTCGATCCAGAGGTTGATAGGGGTGCTCCGACCTTTTGATGGGTCTAAAAGGGAAACACCCGAAAAACACCCTGGTCCGCCAATTTAATGCCCATGTCCCTTACATTAGCTGTCCCAGCTGTCAGTTACGTGAACATTGAACATTGAACATTGTATTTGATGGGAATAAAAGCTGGAGCTTTACATGACCCATAGGGTAAAAAGAGTACGGGTCGGATTTAATGAAAGGCCAAGCAACCTTATAGCGGGTTGGACTCGCGTGTTAGCCGTATCTTCATCGGGCTTATGTGGCATTTAAAACAGAATGCACGCCGGTTCAAAGCGAGACTTCCCACCACGCCCTCCGAAACGGCTTTGGAAAGGAAGTAGGTGGAAGAAAAAAAAGAAAGAAATTCCATCCAGTAGAATGTAATTAAATTAGGGAATATCGCGATGTAGCTCGGCCAGATGACAGTCCAAGCGGGCCTTAAAGTCCGACACAGTGGGTGCCAAGACTAAATCGGCCGGCAGAGCATTCCACGGTCGGCAGA